TGTTGCTACTATATGCCAGATAACACGTATTCTCTATACGTATCTGATTGACGACTAGCCTTAATCAAAAGTTCTCTCTCGTGATCGAGAGGGGTAATTAACTATAGGGGCTTGCGCCTATAGGAAATCAGAACTCAGATCATAAAGTCCTCGCAAAATGAGGACGAAATCTCTGGGTAGTGTCTTATCTACAAACCCATTTGCCTTCCAAAATTTACCTCGGAACTTATTCAGTTAAAACTCCCTCGCCGAAAGAAAAGAGCGAGCGGAGGCCGGGGACAAATTTTCGGAGCCCACACTACCTAGTTTAGCTGTTGGAGTTGATATATGTTTGTGTTGTTTCAGTGTACAGGTTGGGGGCCGTGATATTGTCTTGGAAGGGAGCAGTAATTAGAAGTCATGTTTCAACTTAATGCATTTTGACTTCCAGTAATTTTATTTATGGCCTTGACTTCCAGATCATCAGTACATTCTTAAAGCTTTGATTTAGTTTTAAGGCTCTAAGGTTGAGATAGACCTAAAAAAATTTGACTAGAAAATATTTGAAATGATCTTTCTTTATTATATTTAAACGATAAATTGACTTTTAACATGACACAATGAAGAAAAAAGATTCATGTAGTCGACCCCACATGGTGAGACAAAGGCTTGATGTTGTTATTGTTGTTGCTGCTCTTAGCCTTTTCAATACCTTTACTACTTTGTACTGTTGGCTTAAGAGCATTGCATTGATATTCTTTATTATGGACGTCATCTGATTATAAAGAACAATTGATCAATCCCAAATGTTTGTCATAGTATCAGTTTTCCTGGGTCTATGTTAATGGCATTGCTACTTGACAAAATAGCCCTAACTATGCTTTAGGACTTCTTTTTTCTAGGCATCTTTCCTCTAGTTTGCGACAATTTTATTTTGTCAAAAAATACAGCTCAAATTCTGTTGAAAAGTGGCAAAATGACCAGCTATCCGCTGCTTTTAATCTGGGAAAAACTAATAGGGTAAATTGATCACTTTGTCCATTGTTAGACAAATTTAGGGCTGCTTTTTCTGGATCCAAAAGCATTGCCTGTCCGCTTGGAAATCACATTCTTTGGTGGAGGATTAGTTCTTGTATTTGATTTTACATCTAATAAATGAATTTATTATTTTTGAAGCAAGTGCTCCTTCTTGTGTACCTAGTGAGGTTTTGATGATCCTTGTAAAATCTTAGCATTGTTTTTATGTGGCTTGATTTGTTTATATTTCTCTCCATTGCTGGAAACTGCTTCTTGTTGATGCTAGGTAAATCTAACTATTTCTATTGTGTTGATATGGTCCTTTAATAACTATTCCCAAAACTTGAACATTTCAGTGATTGCTTGTTATGATCTTTTGGAAGACAACTCGGATGCGGAAATTTCTTGCAGAACTAAGTTCTTCATATGCTTTTTAATTTTCTTATTTTGGTTGGATCTTTGTGAGGTTGTGCAAATGGGTGCTACATGTAGTAACATTGTTGTTGCAAGTAAATGTCTAATCTCCATTGAATTAAGTATTGTCGGTATAATGCTATGTGAGAAGCTGCTGTGTGTAAGTTCTAGTTGCTCACATATCAGTATTGCCGTTCTTGTATGATGTGTCTACCACTCTGCAAAATAAGGTAATACTTGGGACACAAAATATTGGTTCTGTTAATGCCCATATTTTGAGAAGTTCTTTCATTTGTCATGGAATTGTATGTTGATAACTTGATATTGAGCTACAGATTAGTTTGTTTTACCTTTGTTTTTGTTATAGAAATCAATGTTGGATTAATGTTAAAAACAGTTAGAAGATTTACGAGGGTCAAATTTGCACTTTCAATGTTATGTTATGTTAGGTATTAATTATGCCTTTTGGATATAGCAACATTTAGTTAGGACATTTTTGTATTAACGTTTTTTGTTTCATATGGTTTTGATGTAATTTGTGTTGAAGAGGCTTGCGGAAAATTCATTTGGCTTGTTTTACTCCTTATCCTTAAATCATTATGTTGAGGTAGGTGAACATTTAATATTATATGCCTTTGTAAGCCGTTTTTGGTTAGCCATTGGATCAATACGCAGAAGTTAACTTCTACAGGTTGTTGTTTCATTAAGTATGCAACATTAGAGCATGCTGATAGAGCTATAAGTGCTTTGCACAATCGGTATACTTTGCCTGGGGTAAGTGTTTGCGAATGCAAGGTTCAATAATTGTCATAAAATGTTTTATTTTTTGATCATGCAATTTAATTAATAATCTTCTAGGGAACTGGACCAATTCAAGTCAGATATGCTGATGGTGAACGAGAGCGGCTTGGTAATTTGTTTAATCATTTCATTTATTGCTTGTGGATTTCGAATATGTTGATTTACTTGTTTTACTTTGTATTCGTTTATGCAGATGTAATCATATGATAGGCTACTGTGATATTTCTTTTGTACGGATAAAAGGGTCAATGTTCTAGGTTTTCTTGCATGTTCATTTTTGCATTTTATATGCTACAGTAACAACCAATGTTTGTCAAAACCAAATTCACAATGCAACCGTTCTTGATGACATTTCATCCTCATTTAGTTGTTCAAACAATAATGATTGCTTTTTTTTTTTTAATTTTTTTAAACAATAATGATTGTTACATATCTATTACATGCACAACTAGGCTTATGTATCACTCCATTAACTTTCCTGTAATTGCTGATAGTACATGACCCAAGCTGCACGTTTTTGTGGTTTATTATGATGTATGTATATTTAATTTTAAGTTTTGACTTGATAACAATTTTTTTCTGATACTACTACCATGAATCATTGACCTTAGTTTTGGGTATAAATCTTATAATGTCATTGGTTTAGGAAACAGTTTTTTTGGACTTATTTGAAAGTACTGGGAAAGGAACTTATTTGAAAGAACTTGGAAAGGTTTGGTAAAAATCTGATAGGAAAAACTTAAATATTTCAAGTAAACCCTAACAAAATTGATGAAAATAGCGAGATATCTTCACAAATCTAACCGAGAAAACAATAGTTTTTTTATGGTGGAAAGCAAATAAGCAAGATACAATCGATCCTCAATTCAAGAGGAGGATCGTTCCCTCCCAATCCCTAGACGAATCTAGGGCCCAAGACACCAAGAAAAAAACTCCAGAAATCATTCACCAAAACAAAGCATAACCCTAACCCTAACAACTCCTACTATTTAATACAATAATTCCCCCAATTCAATTCATTATTCAAATTTCTCTCCCATGCCTATTTGTCTCCCTCTTTTTTTAATTGGCCCTTAGTGGGGCCCATTTAATTAGATGGCCATAGCAGGAAAGGAGGCGGCATTAGTTTGCCTCCTACAAACGAGAGCCTGCCCAAGGCCGGCTGGATCAGCTTAGGCTGAACCGGCCTAACAATACCGTCCTTCCAAAGAACCACCTTGTCCTCAAGGTGATAGGAGGGAAACTGACGCTTCACCCTCTTATAAGGCTCCCATGTCGCCTCATAACCTGGAAGATTCTTCTACTTGATCAACTTCCTTTCCCCCTCCCTCTTCCTGACACACCCCTTGTAACTCAAAGGGTCCCAACATCACCTCCAATTCCTCTGTTAATGTCACTGATAGTTCAGAACTGGCTGCATGCTCCCTAATCACCCTCCTTAGTTATGAAACATGGAAACATGAGGTATGGTTGCTATGGAAGGCAATTTCAACTTATATGCTACTTTTCTAATCTTCTTCAATACTTCAAATGGCCCAAAATACCTTGGTGCAAGCTTCTCATTTCTCCTGTTGGCGATGGTTTTCTGCTTGTAACGTTGGAGCTTTAAGAACACCCTCAAATTGGATGTCCTTATGATGTCCATCAACCTATTTCTTCATAATTTGTTAGACCCTCAATAGATGCCTATTCAGTTCTTCCAACACCCGGTCTCTCTCCTCTAGATACTTCTATAATGCTGAAACTGGTGTGCTCCTATGCCCAAAATGCACCCGCTGAAGAGGGTCCCTTTCATACAATACCTTGAATTGAGTCATTTGAGAAGCATGATGATAAGAGGTGTTGTACCAATACTCTGCCCATGCTAGCCACTTGGCCCATAACTTAGGTGTCTCCGTTACAACGCATCTTAGGTAAATTTCAGCTCCTGTTGACCACTTATGTTTGGAAATCCATCTGTGGGTGATAGGCTGTGCTTCTCTTCAATACCATCCTCTGTACTCTAAACAATTCATTGCTGAAATGGCTGAGGAACACCTTATCCTTGTCGGATACTATAGCCTCTTGTACTCCATGTAGTCTGACCACCTCTCTAATGAAAGCTGATGCAACTGTTATTGCGGTGTATGGATGTTGTAGGGGAATGAAATGAGCATATTTGCTCAATAGGTCCACCACCACCAGGATCACTGTGAACCCTTTTTATTGGGGTAGCCCATCTATGAAATCCATGGATTTCTCCTCCAATACCCGACCTGGTAATGCTAACTGCTGTAGTAATACTCTTGGAGACATGGAGATGTACTTGTTGCTCTAACATATCTCACATTTGGCTATCATTTCTTCTACATCATTATGCATCCTCTTTTAGTACAGCTCTGAAGCTAGTCTCCTGTATGTCTTCTGCATCTCTGAGTGATCCCCAACAATGCTCCCATGGAACTCCTAGAGCAAGTGTGGAATGTAGACTGATGTCCTAGGCATCACAAACCTTCCATGGTACAGAAGTTTCTCCCCTTCCAAAGGATACCCCAGGTGGCTACTCCCTCCTTCAGTAAATCAGCCATAATCTTTCCCAACTCCTCATCCCAGGTACTCTCCTTTTTTATGGCCTCCCAATCTAACATCAACGAGATTGAAATTGTTGTCGCTTGCAACTCCCCCATGCATATGGACAAGGCATCTGTCTTCTTGTTCTCCACTCCTGGCATGTATTGGATTTCAAAATCATACCCCAGCAATTTGGACAGCCACCTCTGATGCTCCTCTGTCACCATCCGCTGCTCCAACAAGTACTTCAAGCTCTGCTGGTCCGTTTGGACAATGAAATGCCTACCTAATAAGTGGGACCGCCACTTTTGGATGGCTAATACAATTGCCATCAACTCCTGCTAATAAACTGATTTCAACTTGGCTCTAGCTGTCAACACCTGGTTGAAATAGGGAATAGCGACGATTTTGCATAAGCACTGCTCCCAATACATATCCTGAAACATTTGTCTCCACCGTGAAGTCCCGAGTGAAGCCCAGTAGTGCTAGGGCTAGTATAATAGTCATAGCATTCTTCAAACTCTCAAAGGTTGCTGTGGATGCCTCCCCCCATAAGAAACCATCCATCTTTAAATGCTCTGTTAGTGGTCATGCTATGTTGTCATACCCCTTCACGAATTTCCTGTAGTATCCTATTAGTCCTAAGAATCTTCTCAGCTCCTTCAAATTCTTAGGTGCTAGCCATCTCAACATAGCTTCAATTTTTGTTTGATTTGCTACCACCCCCTCTTTAGACATGATATGATCCAAATACTCCACACTAGCCTGGGCAAAACAACATTTCTTCAGGTTGGTCCTCAGTTGGTACTCCTGCAACACTTCTAACACCTTCCTTAAGTGCTCCAAGTGCTCTTCCTCCATACTATTGTAAATTAGTATGTCGTCAAGAAAATCAAGACAAATCGCATGAGATAGGATATGAAGACCTTGTTCATGAGTGACTGAAACGTGGCCGGAGCGTTAGTGAGGCCAAAAAGCATCACTAGGAACTCATAATACCCCTCATGAGTTCTGAAAGTAGTCTTGAGCACATCTTCCTTCTTTATTCGGATCTGATGATAGCCTGACTTCATATCTATTTTGGTGAAGATCACCGCCCCACTTAACTCATCCAACAGCTCATCTATTACTGGTATAAGAAACTTGTCAGGCACATTCTCCTTATTTGCTGCCCTATAGTCCACACAAAACCTTTAGCTGCCATATTTTTTCTTAACCAGTAATACTGGGCTAGAAAAATGACTAACACTAGGCTTGATAATTCTTGCCTTCAACATTTCTCTAATCAACTTCTCAATTTCATCCTTCTGAAATTGAGGATAGCGGTAGGGCCTGACGTTGATGGGTGATATACCTTCCCTCAAGGTGATAGCGTGCTCCTTTTCCCTTGGTTGAAAATCTCATGGAATTGCTGGATCAACGGCTGTACTGAGAGGGGTATGTCTCCTCTCTCTCCTCCAATCTAACTCCCTCCAGTTTGTGCAGCTTCACGAGAAAGCCCTCCCCCACTTCTTGTATACTCCTCACCATGGTTTTGAGAGATATCATTGTTTTGGATAGCCCTGCATCTCCCCTTATCACCATCTTTCTTCCATCCACCATCAACTCCATCGTGAGTACTCCTCAATTGACCTTGATGTCCCTCAAGGTTTGCAACTACTTCATCCTCAGGATGACATCAGTACTTTCTAACTCCAGTGGAAGAAAATTCTCCCTCAACTTAACCCCTGGATGGTCAACACCACTCTTCTACATATACCCTGGCCTTTCTCTACCTTCCCTATACCTATCATCACCCCATAATATCCTATATCCACCCATTTCACTCCCAGTTGGTCGACGACCTGAGTGAAAATAAAATTGTGGGTAGCGTCACTGTTGATCAATACCACCACCTTCCTGTCCTCTATCTCTCCCTTCACCTTCATGGTATGATTCATTGTAAATCCTACCACAGAGTTCAGGGAAATCTCTACTAGATCCTAATGCAACTTCTCCTCCATCTCTCCCTCTCTTCCCTCCTTTGTTTCCTCATCATCATAGATGGTGTGAACTTGAAGGGTTTGGTTCTTACATCTGGAGTATATTTTTCATCACACCTGAAACATAACCCCTTCGCCCTCTTCTCCTGCATCTCCTTCTCTATCAACCTTTTGAAATTTCCCCCACTTCCTCCTCCTACTAGCTTCTCCATGGTGGTCTCATGAAATCCTCCTGATGTAGGACCATTTGGTGCTAAAAGAGTGGTCTTCATCTTGTAAGAGCCTCTTGAATTACTGCTCCTGGCTCCCATCTCTTGATTCCTCTGATTTTCCACCAGTTGTGTCAACTCCATGGCCTCTCCCAAGTCACAAGGCCTCATGACCTTCACCGCCGCTCTGATCTTTGATTTGAGCCCCTTCATGAAGTTCCCCTCCAATGCCCTGAGAATCATTTCACCCGACTGGTGAGATGCTCAAACTACTCACGGTAGTTTGCCAGTAATCCGTCCTGCACCAATGCAAAGAATTGCTCATAGAAGTCTCATTCCCTGTCGGCTTAGAAACGTTCTAATAAACA